CTTACAGGACGAAATCTCCACAAAGATTCCATTTATGCTTCTCGTCGGTTCGTTGGGTTTCTTCAATTTGATAGTTCTGTCTCTCTATTGTTATTAAACCGTTTTCTTCTTGTTTTGTGGGCTGGATCCGTTCCACTTTTTTGATTGATTGAATAACCTTCTACTTTAAGTAGCATTTTTTCTTTTTTACTACTGGTCCGTTGTTTTCTGCTAATTAGTCTGCGTCTATTATAATCCGTTTCAACAAACAAGTCAACGGTCCGTTCAGCTTGCGATGCCAAAGCTGAATGGCTTTTGAGTCGAAATCTTCATTTTTTTAATTTTTATTTTGTTTTTTTTTCGTTATTTACTTTCAGTTTAAAAACGTAGCATATTATTTGACACCAAATGGTTATTTTAACCAGGTTTCATTCCGTAACATAGGTACTGTGTTTTCATAAAGGAAGCTGCTTAAAAGATTGCTGGATGAAGAGAATCCTAGACTAGAGATTCAATTGAGTCTCCCGTGAAAACCAAAATGAATTGCAAATGGGTGTGTTCATCGCAATCAGTCCAATTTGGGTCCAAGTAGAACATAGGTTGACGAAAACTCGGGGACTGCGCCTACCTGATGAGCCTCACGGAGAGCGATACTGGTCGTGGGCTGCCGAAGAGTTTTCAGCAAACTTGTGAGTAGTTTCCTTTACGAAAGTGTACTGCGATATCTCAACTATCGTACCAACGTTAGACGGTCTTTGCGTAGCACATTCAGTTGATGAACATCATAGACAAGAGATTCACTTGAGTCTTCGGTGAAAACCAAATCGACTCGCATTGAGTGTTTGTCGCAATCAGTCCGATCTGGGTTCAGTTTTATGTATTATGTAATTTTTTTCTCGACTTGAAATCGGCCCACCATTGTTTGTCATTCGCCGGTTCAGCTCCCACTGAGTTGTGCACTGAACTTTTAAATTCCTTTTTATTGGACGGAAAAGTCGTCTGCTGTATAATGAGGAGTCTAGGTTTTTGATACAACGGTCTGGCGTCCTACCCACTGTAATTGATCCGAATTCACCGGTCGAGGATTCATTTCTTCTTTCGTAGCACTATATGATGACAGACTAAGCAACCGGGGTTTCAAAAAGTTTGACCTAGCATAAGTTGTTAAAACCGTGATACTTCCTACCGTTTGAATCAGCTAATCACAATGAAAACAGCCACTTGACAACTGGCCTGAAACTGCAACTACTTCTCTCGGTACAGCATGATCTAAAATGATTTTAGGCAAACGTGGTATGTGATATCATGATTAAAATTCAACGGTAATGACTCATTTCCCGCTTGTAGTTTACTCAAAAGATGAACCCAGAGTCAATCAAACGTTGTGCTTTTTCACAACCAAATACCAGATCGTAACAAAAAACGATTTTACTATCGGTTTCATTCCGGCAAGTATCCATCCACATTTTTCTTAATGAAAATTCGGAGCTGTAAAGGTGAATTATGAGCCTTGTACCTCAAAATTGTACCAATTTTGGCAGAAAGAGTGATTTCGATTTCGATTTCAAGTCATTATTTTTTTCGCCTCTGATGCTATACAGGACATTTTTCTAGGATACCCCTCTATGTTTATCTCCCACTAATGACTATGAAATACAGTTTTGCTTACGTGTTTGCTGGATATTAAGGCAAACGTGAACAGCGTTCACAAGGTATGCATTCTGTTATCACTATTTTCATCTAAAGCGGATTACCCGTGTATTTACGACCATCAAACAACCAGCGGACAGTCTTCTGACTTCAATATTTGGCTCTTTTGCTCTTGGTCTCTATCCGTTTTGTACTGGTTCGGCAATTTATTTTTCACTGCGCTGAAACGTTCCGATGCAATCATTGAGAAAGAAAAACCTCTCAGTTGAAATGTCATTATCCAGGCCTTAAACACCCCAATTATTCTCGAGCACTAGTGTTTTGAGTGACTTGAACGGTTACTTGGATGACCAGACAAACCAATTTCCAGGCTACATCTCACTGTTTAGTGCAGTTTGTTGCAGTAACTAACTAAAAGATAAGCTCAGTCTCCTCACGTACATCTCTTTTGACAGCATGGCCAAGTTGTTACTACAAAACCTCCATTGAAACACCAAGCCCATACTATGGTAAGTACTGGGTTCCCCTGGAGGATCAATTGCTAATGAAACCAAACTTGCTGCCTACTTGCCTGTCGGTAAATGACTTTGATTAACCGACCGATGACTATTCGACTGTCCATAAAACCCAAAATCTGGTCTGTCCAAGAACCGCACGATATGTCCAACCGCGTCTGCTCTGCATGATGGCTAAGGAAATGTGGCTTCTGTGGGAGGTATGAGGCAAAAATCGGTAAACGTTCCTAGATGATTTGGAGGCTTTATGCGTGTCCGACCAATTCCGTGGTAAATTTTGTTGGGGCGGAACATGGTCTTACAACAACAGAGGTTTTGTCCCGAGGAACAAATTTATTGGGCTATCAAAGTGGTCGACCCTGTTACGAATACTAAGTCGATAGAAAATGGTATAATAGGGGTACCTTTTTAAGACCTACCTGAGTTCTCGACTCGAAAATGCACAATTCCTCTGTTTATGACTGAAAAGTAACCACTGTCAGAAAACTGTTCAATTTTGAAGCATTCTTTTGTACCCTTAAGGAATTGCTAGCTTACGTGTTCGGCACACATACAACAAGTTGAAGCAATGTGGACACACGATCTGTCATCACTCACGCAAATCACATGCAATTTCATTGATTTTGTGCCTCATGAATAGACATTCACGTGTGATATAAAACACTTTTCTCACTCAATAACTTTCAGACTATTTTCCGTGGAAAATTATGTTGTTATCTGCGAAAATCACTCTTTTGATTGCTGCATCCATTGGATTGGTTATCACTTTGGTTCCAATAATTCAGTATGACTATCTTTGGCGTCGTAAGTTCAATCCAGGTTCACGTTCCAATATACGATCCTAAACCTTACAAGAAATTTAACGAATTTATATATCTTATTTTTTAGGCCCACCAATCGAGTTGGTCGACGCCTGCAACTTACAGATAGCCGCGCTGTGCACTTACATCGTCCTGATCGTATTTATTAGCCTCAGCAGCTTGTTACCCATCAAGGACAAGTTTGTCCTGCTTGCATACTTCTTTTTTGGACTTTTAGCAAGTGAGTTTGATGACAAGTGAAATTCTTATGTTACCCTCAATACGTTAACGAACAAGATTCACCCATAAGATCCGAAGCCCGGCACTCCTGGTATCTTAACTTGTGTGTGGCCTAATAGGACAGGCTGACCGTAAGTCTACTTAATAGAAGAATATTTGTTAGTATACAACCGGCCTATGACTTATCAAGACTTATTTTCTTGAGCCAATGTGTTTTTGAGACGTGTGAAAATATGTGAAGACTGCATTACAAAGCAAGGTTGACCGTCCAGCAAAATGCAGAAAATAAGTTGAGCCATAATTTCTTAGCTATTCTATGTATTAGGGTGAACTGCATCAGTTTAGGTCACCAACTTCGACCCATTTTTCACATAATTACATCTTTTTCCCGGGTTATTCTCCAGCGTAATTCAGTGAACGAACCGGCTTCTGAGCTGGAACAGAAATTTGCACAGCAAAGCGCGAGAGCCGGACCAGAACCATACATAAACAGTTCATCCACAATCCGAAACTATACCAGAAAAACTAGCCTTGAATAAATGCTGCAAATTTGTTTTTAGTCGCAGTGAACAGGGCAACCAATGATCACGTCACCTACATGGCTCATGACTTCGCTTGTACTTCTGAAGTCAACACAATGCGGCCACTGAGTATGCTGGTGCACATGGCGATCAGCACTTGTCTGGCACAAGTTACAATAAACTGAGTCATATGCTGAGGTCTTCAATCCTGGACAATAAGTCTTAGTAATAACCGTCGGAATATCCCAAGATCACTGGATGCCATCCTAAGAAATCGCTGGTGGGAAATGTGCTGGAGTTGTTATTAATCGTCTGATAGTTCAAAGGTGCTCGACTTCGTCAAGAATTTCCCGCGACATATTTCATCAAAGGATTTTATAAAAACTACTGTTTAGTTAATAGATGAGTAGGCAGGGGGGTTATTGACTCATCCATTCATTCATGCATTCATCTATCCATCCATTCATTCGTTCATTCATTCATTGGTCGACCGATTGGTTGATTCACCAATTAATTAATTAATTAATTAAGCTAGCTGGGGTGGATTTTGCTCCTTCATCATTTGTTGGACTCCCAGTTCACCTATCGTCACACATATATCCTGTGATGGACAAACAACTACAGTACTGCATTCACTGGTGAACTCAGGTCCTCGAACTGGTGACTGGAACTAGTTGTTCCTTAACAAGTAACTGGATCGGATCTCACTAGGCTTCGTGATTCACGTACACAATGCACATTGAATTGGCTGACAGTGATTGATTGACCGACAGATCGATCGATTGACAGATGGCTGGATACATATATACGTACATACATACATGCGAACACAGATAGATGCTTATGAGGTTGTCGCGTTAGAACTAACAGTATTTCTCAGTTTCGTGGACTAGGATACCAGTTTGCGCCTAACGGGCTATTTTGTACGCTTCCTCGTTCAGTGCTGCATTCAAGTACACAGAGTCTGCCTTTTTGACCTGTGTTATGTTCGAATTGTACCCGTTGTTTTTCAATGTTCGCACATGTGGTTGCCTCACCTGTCCCTTCCGTCTCCTTTGCTAGCAAGCCTAGAAGTGGGAGCGTATATTGCAGTTGCGTATCCCAATTTCCGCAACCGACCGCTGCCCACAATCACTGAATGGACGTTCGGTGGGATCTTCGCAACACTTCCCCTGCTGTTTGGCACGATACTCATTGCCGCATACGACGTGTACGGTTTGATCCAACGATATGAATAGATGTTCCAATGGCCAATGGATACTCTCCAACGAATCAAGGTGAACTCATTACACCATATATTTGTTTTACGAATCGGGACCGCTTATTACGATAACGAAAATTGTAAAAACTAATTCTTTGTGCCTTTCGTTGTCTATAATAAAATCTCGAAAGAAATTTCCTCCTGTGAGTGAATTAGGTACACACCGAAAAGAGAGCTCTCCTTTGGATCAAAATCTTTTAGTTTGCACAACTGGGACAGCCCGAGAATGGGCAAAAGATTATTCCTTCACAATCTGGAAGATTCTCATGGCTACATTGGAAAGCAGAAGGCTAGTCCAGCATGTGTTTTCAGTTATTCATCTTCTTCCGGGCGCAAGTCATCGGTGGGATCGAACGTAATAAAAGTGGACCAATTATGATATGGCAGATATGGGACTAGGAAAAACTGCTTGCTTATCGGAGAATAGATCAGCTAACACATGACTGATTGTCTGAAGTTTGTGGCTTCGTGTGTTCTTCAGATGGGAGACGAAAATTGGGTCAGTTCAGTTAGAAGGACAGAACAGAAGGCTTCTAACCACAATGTTCGTGTATAAGGAGCTGGAAGGTATTAGCCTCAGTAATCGAAAGATTAAGTAATCTGATTAATTTGGCGCCTGGTAAACGACTCATTCAACGACCTGGCCAGGTTGACTAGCTGGGCTACGGCAGAACTCTGAATTTTATCTGTCTCCTGGGACGAGCTTAGGTAATTGTCGCACCTTGTGCCCGCACAAATCACACTACACAAGCGCGTAAACTCAGAAACAAGCACCAATAAACTAAGCTCTGGTAGATAGCGGTGGTAGGTAGCGCTGAAGATATGCTCACCCGAATGCTTAGAAGAGGAACTAAAGTTCTTGGGACGCACATTCCTGCAGAACGGATATCCTGAAAGATTCGTACTGAAGACTATGGAAGCCATTGAACCCAAACCTACGGAATTTTCTGTTAGAAAGAAGCCCGTATACATGAGGCTTCCATTCAAAGGTGACTCGGTTGCTGAACTAATCACCGGAAGGCTTAGAAACTCCGTTGATACGACATGCTTGGCCGCTAATCTATGTTTGAGCTTCAACTCCAGCCCCACTATCAGATTCTGCTTGAAAGACAAATTGCCACGTTCTACCACCAGCTTTTGTGTGTACTCATTCGTATGCTCGTGCCGAGCATCATACGTTGGTCGTACGACAAGGCATTTGTCGGACAGAATACGAGAACACAATCCCGTATCTCTGAGTGGTAGTGGAAAGAAACCAGGCTCAAGCGCGATTTGCAGCACACTTGGCCGAAACCTGTCATATCATAGACAAGGAGCAAGCCTTCACCATCATATACCGGGTACCTCTGAACGGACCACGACTGGTACGATCCAAACTACTATCGATCGCAGAGGCGATAGGAATCCGACTGCTGGATCCACAACTTTGCATCCAAAAGAAACTTGTGCGACCTCTGAACTTGAACTGGCCTACGAAACATCTGGTCCCACAAGTCTGTCTGACATTGACGTCATGACCCATTGACCTACCCCTCACCCAACCCCCT